TTTAAATACGAATAATTAAAATATATAAATAGAAAATATGTAAATAATAACGTAACTAATATAAATATATATTAATATAATATAAATATTATGTTATTTATTTTTAAAATTAGAATTTAATTAAAACAATATTAAGGAATTATAGATAAATTTGTATGTTCTATTATATTATTGAATTGTTATATTAGAAATATATTTTTTTGTTTTAATATTGCGATTGAAATTATAGATTATATATAATATATATGGTTTTTTAGATTATTGTTGGGTGAATTGTATTTTTTAAAAATATAGCTTCATTGTTATTTGATTTGATTTGTGTTTTAGGATTAGTTTGTAAATGTTTGTCGATGTTTTTTTGAGAATGTCTTTTTATCCGGATAGATCTATAATGTTTAGCCGATATGTTTTTATGATGTTAGGTTTAGGCTTTTGATCGGGGATCTTGACATATTTTTTATATATTATTTATTATGGGCTAGTGAGCATATTGATCGGCAGTATAATGAAATGAAATATTACGTATATATAGGAATTATATATTTATAAATCGTAATATATTTTTATATTGATTTTCGTAAAATAATATTTATTATTATTGAAATAAAACAATATTTCAAAAAAAAAATATATATATATATATTTGATATATCTTATTATGGTATTGAATAATTGTAAATAATAAATATATTTTACCAAAAAAATAGACGACGAGTGGCCCGAAAGCATTATTTTTTTATCACCTAGGAAGTGAGAGTGTGAGTTTTCTGTTCAGTGTGAAGTGTTAGGTCGAGTGAGTTGAGGTGTATCTATGTCTGTGTGTGTATGAGTCTCTGTTTATCTGTGCGTCCGAGTAAGTTGAGGTAGTGCGTGGGTCTTTGTGTGTGTGTCTCAACCTCTCAAGAGAGCCGGGTGGTCGGGAGATATGGCTCAGCTGTAGGGGCGCCAGAGCAGCCGCGAGAGATGATTCATCCGCGTACTAAAGTTGTATTACAAAGTCGCCAATTCTCATCTTCTAGCTCCCCAGATGCTCCGCGTACTAAAGTTGTACTACAAAGTCGCTAGTTCTCAGCTTCCAGCTCCCACAGATTGCTCCGCGTACTAAAGTTGTATTACAAAGTCGCCAATTCTCATCTTCCAGCTCCCCAGATACTCCGTGTACTAAAGTTGTACTAGAAAGTCACCAGTTCTCATCTTCCAGCTCTCCAGATACTCCGCGTACTGAGGTTATACTACAAAATCGCCAGTTCTCAGCTTCCAGCTCCACAGATTGCTCCGCGTATTACAAAGTCGCAAGTTCTCATCTTCCAGTTCCCAGATACTCCGCGTACTAAAGTTGTACTACAACTTCGCCAGTTCTCATTTTCCAGCTCCCTAGATACTCCGCGTACTAAAGTTGTACTACAAAGTCGCCAGTTCTCAGCTTCCAGCTCCACAGATTGCTCCGCGTACTAAAGTTCTACTACAAAGGCGCCAGTTCTCATCTTCCAGCTCCCCATCTCATCTTCTAGCTCCCCGGATACTCCGCGTTACAAAGTCACCAGTTCACATCTTGCAGCTCCCCAGATACTCCGCGTACTAAAGTAGTACTATAACATCGCCAGTGCCTGCATTTCGCGCACTCGACACGCACGATCTCCGCAGAGGGTTGCGCGCGCACAGACCCAATCGCACTCTTGCCTGCATTTCGCGCACTCGACACGCACGATCTCCGCAGAGGGTTGCGCGCACACCGGACAAATCGCACTCTCGCCTGCATTTCGCGCACTCGACACGCACGATCTCGGCAGAGGGTTGCGCGGGCATAGATCAAAACGCACTCTCGCCTGCATTTCGCGCACTCGACACGCACGATCTCTGCAGAGGGTTGCGCGGTAATTTCGTACATCGCCCTCTCGCCTGCATTTCGCGCACTCGACACGCACGATCTCCGCAGAGGATTGCGCGCACACCGGACCAATCGCACTCTCGCCTGCATTTCACGCGCCCGACACGCACGATCTCCGCAGAGGGTTGCATTTTCGGTTGACGCTGTTCGTCCCACCCTCCGCCTTTCGGAGAGAGTTTATCAAGTGGGGAAAAGTTTTTTTTTATCAGGACATCTCCCGTGCTCTATACTCACACTTGTTCCATACTCACACTTGTACACTTTTGCACTTGGATACTTGCCGTTGGATGCTTTTTCACCCTTCCACTTACACTGGGATACGTCTAGAAGTGTAGTCTTCATGTTCATGTTCAAGTGTAAGTGTGAAAGCGTAAGTGTTCAAGTGTACGTGTCGAAATGTCAGTGTTCAAGTGCAAGTGTGGAAGTGTCAGTGTGTGAGTATAAGTGTCGAAGTGTTAGTGTTCAAGGGATTTTCCGGAAGAACCCTTCGCAATGCTTTCGGGAAAAAAACGTTTTTTTTTACGAAAAAAACGTATTTAATCGTTTATATTTAAAAAAATATATATATTAAAATATGGTTATTGAAATTTCGATTTTAATGGTCCGGATTGTCCGGATTTATTTTCTAAGGACATATATTAATTAGAATAATTTTTTGTCATTTCAATTAGATTATATTATTTTTTAAATAAAATATATAAAGCAAGAATTACAATATATATATATTTAATATATATATATAAATATTCGTATGTTTAATTTGAATTATTCAATTAATAGATAAAATAATACAAATATATATTAACAATAATACATACAAAATCTTTCAAAACATCAAACAAATTGAAGCGTTATCAATACAATATTACCATATAAATATATTTTATTAAAATATCAAATACAAATATTAAATTTACGACGTATTCACGCATATAATTTTTAAAAATATAATATTATAAAAAGGCCTTATTCCATTACGTATGCGTTCGAACGTTGCAATAGAAAACGACATAAATATCCTCTATCAAAATATCAACAATAAATATTAAAAAAATTATACTATAATATGTCCTTATTTCCTTATACATGCATCCGAACATTATAACGAAAAGAATTAATGCACGCAATATATGCCCCAAAAAGAAAACAAAATATATAAAATAATTGCATTATTGTTTATATATAAAAATCGAAATATATAAATAAATCCAATTATTTAAGAAAAATTCAAATCGCAACGAAAACCGTAAATTAATTATAAAAAAACCAAAATAAAAATAAAAAATCGAAAACCTAAAATATGGTATTATTATTTCAAATATATTGCTTCAAAAATCCGTACATTTTTACTCAATCGTATCCATAATATTAATAATAATAATATTAATAAAATAATTTAAATAAATATATTTTATCCATAAATAAATAACTATTATTCCCCATAAAAAAAATTAATAAAGAAATTTTAAATTCATAATTGTTATATTCAAATAAAGTAATAATTTCCGTAACGGCGTCGGCATTCCCATCGATATAATGCTCGTCAAAAGCTAAAACATACTTACAAATCTCTAATCATCAAATAAAAGATCGTATAGTCGATAATGCCTATCCTTATTAATCAGCAAAACGATGTAACGCCGATTTAGAAATTATTATCCGTTTTGGTAATAAAATTTACATCAAAAGAAACACAATAGATAAAATTCCGATATAATTATAAATTAGATCAGCGTCGGAATATTCCTTACTAAATTTGGGCAATCGATTGCAATTAATAAGCGGCTTAAAATCGACGTATTCCCCTATAAATGCGGGTTTAAATGAATTGCGGATTATTGAAGGGAATTCAATAGGGCTCGAAATTAGGATATGTTTTAACATGGTTTTATTGGGATTTCGATGCTTCTCGATGGTAATGGGTTTTATTTCCTTTATTATTAATCTTGAAGATGAGGTCGTAAAGGTTGCGGGGAATTAGCGGTTCCGTTATAAATGCGAAAATTACGGCAACGAATGAGGTCTGTTAATCCAAATAAAAAAGCACTCCGGGCGAAACGGCGTATTATTTTTTTTACGCTCCGAGCCATGGCGAGCCTCCCACGATAAATGTCAACGAGTATCGCATGCTACATCTCCTCAGTTGGGCCTTGATCCTGCTGTTGCTACCTGGAGCTATGGCTATACCAACCGACACCCTATCCGACGATGATCTCTTCAACATGATGGTTGTCACCATTGTCACCTTATTCATCGTGTTGCTGAGCACTATGCTCCTGCTTGGCCGTTGGAATCGAGCGCTGCATCCTGCACTCCTGCAAATGCACCTAGCTGATGCCGAGACTCAGACAGGAGACACCACCGTCTCTCGCCGACTGCGAGAGGAGATCGAATTGTGGAAAGTTGGTACTTTGGAAGCTCAGAGCGTTGCCATGGAGAGCCGAAAGGCCCTGGACCTTGCCGTGAACTACAGTGGTGAACTGATGTATAGAGCAGATCACATACTGCGCCGCTGCCTTAGAGAGATGGACGAACACAGGCTGGAATGTCCTTTGCGCTGTGGCATTCACATCTCACGACATGGAAAAAGATTGCACGTAGATCCACGCTGCAGCTCCCTGGAGGGTCGTGATCGACGAAATGTCGACCTGTACGATCCATGTGCATTGTGCAGCACTAGGATCTTGCCACCAGACCTCATCACTGTAGCTGGCGGAACGTCACTCCGGATGGCCATCAACACTTGGCTGGAAGCCGACGGATTGAGGACCGAAGAGAGCCACTAAAGCTCTTTTCTCCTGTGTCAAGTGAACGCTGTTCACATAGGAGAGGTGGGCAGGACTTGAGTTTCTACTGACCCGTGACTTTCACTGTCAAGGAGGGTGGGAACTTCCCGCGGAAAACGGTGCGTGGTGTGCCGTTTCGCTCGGCACGTGCTTTTCTTTGGGTTGGCAGACCTCGTTCGCTGCCGTGATCTTCGCAAATATGTATATATATATACATATATATTAAATCAATTATGATAGAAATGCATTACAATAGAGAACTAATGGAATTCATGATAATTTATGATAATGTAACTAACATAATTTATGGATTCCATTTGTTTCATGTGTATTTGATCGTGTAACGCCTTGTATCGTCTTGTTCTCGTTGGTCGAAATTGAATCAAATGCAGGAGGTCCGTGGCCCGTGGCTCAAATTATCGATCGATCGGAATTCAGAGTGTCTCGCAATAGATCGCAGGCTTTGATCTGATTGATTCCTCCGCATACCCTTGTGAGGTGCTCTTCTCTCAACACGGATCCGTTGCTGTTTGCTGTCCATTCGCCAGTGGAGCCTCTGCCGACTCAGCTTCAAAATGTGTGAATTTGCAGCGTTCGCCGTACGTACATTTGCCCTTCTGGAACTGCTTGCAAGGCTTTTGGAAGGCCTCGGCCTTGGCCACTTCTCCGGCTTCAGGATCATCTTCAACTAGCTCTGACCAACCCCAAATGATAATTGAGATGCGGCCAAGTTGATTGTGTTTTTCGACTGGCAACGCGTTGATGCCGTGCTTCCAGTTGATGTTGATCCTCAACAAACAAGCCCTGACTTTGACAGTCAGTCAACCCTCCTAAACAAAAAGAATGAACATATTGTGCTGCTACTGATTCTCTCTCTCTCTCTCTCTCGCGAGACCCATCAATCCTAGTTTCTGTGAACCAGTGCAAAGGTGCCAACAAAGCATATTGCACAAACAGCAAACCCATGGCCCTTTGTTGAGTAGACCACCAAGACCTGTGGTTTGAGAAACCTTTCATGAACTGACGCACCTTTGGCCGAAAGAGAAGGCCATGCCATTGGGCTGAGGGAAGTAGGTCAAGGTGCCATGGGAGACATGGCGGAAGGCCAACTCTCGTTCGCCTTCACACAGGCTGAAACGAACCAAAAATACCCAAAAGCCCACCAAAATAAATATGTTTTTTTTCCGCTCCTCCCCTTCCCTAATTGAGTAGGCGCCTACTTAAAGACGTAAGGGAGAGGTAGCTAGTAGCTCAAGTAGCTACTAGCATGGACGCAGGATAGCTCATGCTTCTTCACCTGCCTGAGGTGGAGGCCGTCGCTAGTAGGTGGAGGCCACCGCTAGTAGTTAAGAAATTCAATGAAATTCACCCACCAATTCTCTCGCAAGTCCCTCTCTTTCATTCATGTGCGCTCAACTGTCTTTGGGTATCCCATACAATAAAGAATCATGAAGACTGTCTTAAAAAGAGTGGGGGGGTCGGTGCAAGGCTTGATGCTTGTGGTTGCGCCCAGTGACAGCCAACCCCAAACCTACCTTGCAGTCACCATCCTTTTAGCCAATCAATGGCAAGGAACAAACAATGGAGAGGCAAGCTTCAACAATGAAACCAGCCACGTTCCCATGTCAAATTGTCTAGGGAACTTGCGTGAAGACCATGATTTCAGGAAGTGAAACCATGACTCCGGCACACTCCCACGTCCATCGTTCTCCAGTCCTCAAGCCTCCAAGAGAAACCCCAACAGTGATGTTCTGCTTCCCCAAGCGGCGTTGGCTGAAGGCTGCAGTGTCATGGTGGAGTGGCTTCCAATCAGCACCACTTGCCTCACTCCCAAGAGCGGTGAACAGAATGTTCCTCACACTTGGGACTTGCGGTGCGCTGAGCATTTCTTTCTACCCGTGCCACAGTCTACAGTGTGGTTAGGGGGTACGGAGACTTGCAGGGACAGCCTAACCTGGCCAGAAAACTCCTAAATGCTTGAATTTAACGGACAGCTCACCTCATCTCCTGACAGGCTGCATACCAGTTGAAGCGCGAATACATGGACGGCGCCGAGATTCTGGCGATGTGTGAGAGGACACTCGGGTAGCGGTGAGGAAATGGGACAAGGGTCTCAAGAGTCTCTCACTCTGTACTCCATACCGTACTATATCTACATTATCATATAATATCCATACATGAACTACATGATATATCATGGCACATCTCCATGATCTATATTATGTACGTAGATATAGTGATTCGTCCCAAGGCACAAAGACTCACAACTGGATGTGTAATCTGTTTGCTATCTGTCTGACCTCCCAAGGTAGATCTGCTTCACCAGGGAAACTGCAGAAACTCATCCCACTGACGCGAGATGCCCGGAGTCCTGAAGTATGCAATGATCTTCGCGACCGCGTCGCGATAGGTGGCCGAGCAGTCGGGGGCCTTGTTGATGAGATGGCAGCCGTCCTTTCACACATGAACATCATCCTAACTAACGGGATCAAACGGGCTTGGGGCTTGGGAGTCCAACATGTATGTCCAAAGTACAATCCAAACACCATTGAAGAAGCTTGCCAAGAAACCAGGCACAGGAAAAAAGCTACATGTCCAGTGTGTTTGCTGATGTTTCTTCCTAGGACAACTCTCGGGTCCAGGTTAGATGAGGCTAGATATCACTGATTTCCACTATGATCTTTTGTGTTTGAGAGGAAATCCCCCTCCTGTCCTTCCAAGAGGCCCAGCGCGCATCTTTCATGCCTTCCGCTTGGGCATGCCTGATCTCCTCAACCATGTTGTGGTACAAGGAGAGGTCCTCCTGACCACAAAGCCTCAAAACATGAACTGAAGATGGCAGGCCAAGGACGAAGAAATGCGCTAGCCGGATTTTGTTTTGATTGATAGACCTCCAATGTTGCTGGATCAACGGCTCCAGAATGTCAGAGCTGCATCCCAAGAGGCTGTTCTAAATAAAGTAAACGAAGGCGACTGCATTTGCAAGTTGAGCAGCAGTTCAGGAACAATGAGCACATCGTCGCTGGTCAGCGTTCCTTTGTAGCCTCCTTCAAATGGGCTGTCCAACGTCAAGCAGGCAAACAGGGAAACGTGTGCCATCCAAACGCTTTGATCCTTGTTTGTAGCTTAGTCCGGCATGCAGGAGCAGAAAAGAATTGTTGGAGTTCGGGTGTTGATACATGATTCACTTCTCCACCCGTTACTCACCATGAACCCATACTGCAATTTGGCAAGAGTGTTGCAAGGAACTGTCAACATTTTATGTATCCTCTCATTTGTCCTGGCAATCCGACGTGCACTCGCATAGCTGGATTCACGAAAGTAGACGCTGGATCGCGATCCTGCGTTCAGGATTGTTCGGGACGAAGAAAAAGTCTGTCTCGCAACCAGGAAAAACATGAGTCGACAACGGCTTCTGTCCCATGCATCTACAACCCCCCGACAAGCCGTACAAGTGCATAGGAAGTTGGTGATTCCCCACCTCATTCTCCTCCAATCTCTGGTATGATTTAGACTGGGACGGTGCGACGGTGTCTGATCGTCAACAATTCAAAATGTGGGAGGCTCCTCCAAACGCGTGTTGAGACCGTCCAAGCGTTTGAATTCTCCCTTGCGACTTCTCCGTGGATCATCCGCCTGGCAATTCGTGATTTCTCGTGTCCATGCACCCAGGCAAGCACAGGGGAATGTTGGGCCGAGTGGCAAAGGCTCGAACAATCTGAGCAAAAACCGTGGACCATCATGCTGCTGAAGAGGAATTCGTCTGATTGTGTTGTTGGCAAACATATCAACTATTGACAAAGAACCAGAGCAAAAAGTAACATGTTTGGCACTGACCCACTGCATGAACAGGCTTTCGACGGCCAGAACACAAAAGAAGATACCATCAAGGGTCACAATCAAACACCGTTCGGGTCGGGTGTGGCCAGATCAAGTTTCCGTTCTGTGGCGAAGCTCGGCAAAGCTCACCACATGCCTCGAAGGCACCGGTCTCAACGACTCCATGGAGCTCACATTCATCCTCCGAGAAGAGGAGCGAGAAAAAGAGAAAGAGGGAAGAAGGAAGAGAGAGAGAGAGAGAGAGGCAGAGGCCAACCAGATAGCAAATGGCCTCCAACCTACTAGCGATGGCCTCCAACCTAGAGCGATGGCCTCCAACATCAGAGCGATGGCCTCCAACCTAAGAGAGAGGAATAATAAAGGGACACATACAGAAAATATCAGAAAATAATATCGAACCATGTAAACATAGGAATCCTGATGGTGTCTGTGCTAACTTCAATTTCTCCACATTCCACGAAGCAACTCCCTGCCTCTCTCACCATTGAACTGGGAGATTTCGTTGAGCCAAGTGGCTAGCGGCTGCTGCCATAGCTAAACCCTTTCAAGGAGTGTTCATAGGACTTGCTTTTCGCGCAGTGTGAGTAGAACACTCTGCGACAACATCAGGGTCCTTCAAGCTGGGCAGTTGCACGACAGCGTCTGATCCCCATCAGAGGTATTGAAGGATGGCACTAGAGCTATATAAGGGAAGAGAGAGGGAAGGGAGGGCCAGGTTTATCAAACTGTCGGACCAAAAGATGACGAGGGATGATCGTTTTCATGCAAAGAATGTCAACATGCAACCCTTCGCATTAGCAATCAAATTTTTAACACACCTGAGATTCTGCCGCCGGAAACGGGCGGACAGCGGATCTCCGCGTTCGGGTGAAACCTGAGAGCTGTCTTCAGTTGCCTTCATGTGCCGCTTGGCCTTTGTGGAAGCAAAGGAAAGAGAGAAGCCTGCCAAGACTACATCAAACGAGTAGTTTTTCACTTCCAGTTCCAGGATCCCGAGACGCTCCCTACAGATCTGGCCTGCAGCATGACCAGCTGCGATCGCTGGCTTCTTGGGTTGGCACACCACCAGCTTTACAAAGAACTGTTATTTGGAGAGTATATATACTGGTATACTGAGTATACTGGTATACTGTTGGCCTTCCTGAACTTGACTTGACATGCTCGCTAGTTACTTTGTGAACTGACCTGTGTTGGCGGCTGGACAGTCGTAAGAAATCTCAGAGGTCTCTTCGTAATTGTGGAGAGACTGGCAATTTGGATTGGCGGTTTATTGGTAGTTTGGAATGCACTTGGCCTAGTATCACGGCGGGAACCCAAAACTTCCTGCCAGGTGGAGAAACGATCTCAGTCCGTGTCTAGTGCTCAGACCAGCAGGATATTGCTTTCAGGCCAGCTTGCTGTGAGGGCCATCTCCACAAGCCGGAAGACGCTCATGACGGCCGCGCCGAGCCAGGAGCAGGAAGTGGCCTCGCCAAGAAAGGCGATTGAGTTTGGGTTAGGGGAGTGCAGCCATTGCGAATCAAGACCTTGCATTGTCACCCTGGTGGAGACGATGCAGTAAGTTAAATATACTTTCAGGGTATAAAGAAGACAAGTAAAGGTGGCCTGTAGAGTTTTACACTGTAAAGCAGTCCCTTGACTTGTGCCAGTCATAGTCAAGAATCTGTGACACAGTTCGATGGGTTCCTTGGCATTTTGTTTCCTGGACGAAGCACCCAGAAAAACTGTGCAGTGCAGGGCATGGCTGTTCAAACGGCGGGCTCCAACCTAAGAGCGATGGCCTTTGTTCCTAGAAGCTTCTTGCTCCTAGTAGTACGGCCAGGAGCCCCTAGTAGCGTCTTTGCTCCTAGTAGCGATGCCAGGAGCCCTAGTAGCTTCTTGTTCCTAGTAGTAAGGCCAGGAGCCCCTAGTAGCGTCCTTGCTCCTAGTAGCGATGCCAGGAGCCCCTAGTTAGTAGCTTCTTGTTCCTAATAGCGATGGCCTCCAACCTATTAGCGATTTCAATCCCATCTCCCTGTCGGGTCTCCCAGCTCTTCCGACAAGCTTTGTACATTCGGGATCGGCGCTGAGGCGGATTCCTGAGCAAATGCAAACGAACTTCAGCCCAAACATCAGGCCGATGATCTGGAGCAATGCCAAGCACACTGAGCACCACACGCTTGCATCAGGGCCTTTGGCCTCTGATGAGGGATGGAGAGGAAACGATCCGAGTGACGCCCAAAGATCACACTTGTTGCGAAAGATTACCAGTTGACCAGCTCGTTTTTGTTCAGGAGTTCTCTTCTGCTATGGTGCAGTTTAATGAAGATTGTGTCAAACATGTCAACAAACAACATGAAATCTTGGCATCATGAGCCACTGTCTTCTTGCTGCTTTGTGCGTCACGCAAAAGAGTCGAAAGGATTTGATCAATCCCAACCGTTCTAGTACTTGTTGCAGGGTTGTGGGTGTTATGACTATGACATGATGCCCTTATGGTTGGTGGACAGAAACCATGCATCAACTGAGATAGAGCGAGAGAACTCCTTGTATCATCCTAACCTTGCCTCTTTTTCCTGTCTCTGCGGTGGTCTCCGCCATTTGAAGACAAACCCGTTGTGATTGTCAAGATCTAGTGTGTTTGGCGGGAACGTTCAGTAGCACCGAGCTCACCCGGCTCCTGCCGTTTCACCGAGACTGCGGCTGGGCCAGGACAGGGCGAACAGCTCGGATTTAACCTGAGACAGCAATGAACCCTCTGCCCTTGAGGACCCTGTCGAGATCATCTGAACTTGTCGATATGAATCAAATCGGCTCCCTCCACAACTTCACAACTCCAGGAATTCTGACCATCCACACTCCAGGAATTCTGCCGTTGGTTTGGTCAAAGGTTATTTGTGGAACGATGATCATGTCTGTCATTGTCTGTCTATATAGTCGTCTGATCTTGCCCGGTTCCGGAGCCTTGAACCTCAGCCTTGTCTTTTGATGGACCAACACTAGCAGAACATGTTACTGTACACACATCTATACGCATCTCACAAATGTGCAAGTCTGAGGCAAACACCCAAATAAAGACCAGGTGTTGGCCTGGCCACGCTCTGAAGGGTTTGAGAAGGAATCTAACGTGACCAACGTTGTGGTCGGCTCGCCATCGTCACTCTGTCACGTAGCAATGCCCATGTCACATGCTTCAGTACTGTACCTGTCCGCGGTTCAACCTCACCTCTCTTGTTCCCACTCAAGAAATATCAATGTGCTTACTGCTTAGGAATGGAAGTGCTTCACCCAAAAATGTCTGGAAAAACAAAGAGTCGTCTGTCACCTCCGTCTCCAGGATCCGGAACTCTGTGGAACTCTGGTGTGGAACAGCTCACTATGTCGAGCCATTTCACCGCGCCAGTGATGTTGAACCAGAAAGACTTGGGAAATTGAAATCAGAGGTTTTGTCGCCTATTAATTACCTCTGAGGCGTTTGCAACGCCAGGCATCCGAATCTCAATGCAACGGCACCCTTCCTGATCTGCATCTTCTGGATACCGTTCCTGCAGATTCCGACACGAGCTGGATGCACGTGCTTGTCGCTGCACAGCATTGCTACTCCCACTCCATCAGTCCTCCGGAGTCTCGTGCTTTCGGATCATGTACCTCGTGCATCTGCCAGTGAAACCTCTTGTTTGCATCAATGTGGAACAATATCCGACCTATGTCCATGGGTTGTCCTTTTTGTCGTGGGGGATCCAGTGATGTAAAGAGCTTCTCTGTCAAGCCCTCGGTTGAATATCATGATGTATTGTAGTATCCTACCATAATGTAGTGGTGAACTTTTTGGAATGCCCCAAGGCAAGGGGCTCCACAGGGCAGCAAGGAAACTTGTCATGAAATCACGACATCCACTCGGTTCCCAAAAAATGTCTGGCCTGAACGCATCAATCGGCTGTTGTTTCAAACCATCTTCTTGGAGTGAACACAACTCATCTGAAACTGGGCCAAATGGGCCGTCTTGAGTCCCATGGGAGGTGTGCGAATGTGCGCGATTAAGACTGGGTGACCAGGTTTTTATTGAACGAACCCAAACAAGAAAACAGGGCCTGCGGCCTGAGTGACACATCCTGTCATCTAGTAATCATCTGAAAGCTCATTGTATATTTTCAAACCGGAAAACCAGGACCAATCGATTTCCCTCCTCTCAGCCACAAACCATACAGCACAAGTCAGCACAAGCTCCAAATCTGAAAAAAGGCTCGAGGGTCGTCATATCGGCGCACCACTTGGCCCAACTCCAGAAGTAGTCCACGGTTGCATCCAGCGCACCCACCTTGGTGCTTGCCTGAGTACGATTGTGAGATGTTGAGATGTTTTTTTGTGTTGTTCTGGTTTTCAGACTGAAAACTGCCCTTCAGCTCGATGAGCTCGGAATGTGAAGCTTGGATCTACCTTCGACCGAAGGTTTGGCCATGCCCTGACCAAACCAGCGAAGCCCATCGCAAAGACACGCCTGCAGGATGCCCAAGATCCAATCAGGGAACTCCTTGGGGACCTTTAGACCTCAATCAGCAGCACAATTTTGTTCGCTCGATTGACTTCCTGGAAGAAGGTTGATTGTGACACAACAGGTTGACTCCTAGAGACAACTGATGACAAATGCAAGGGGAGGGACATCCAGACCAGGCCTGTGAAGCTGACTGTTAACGCCTGGGCCCCTCAAACATCGACAAATCATTCCAGAGTCATAAGGGGCCAAGGAGCAGGGGCCCCATTTGGGGCCCCAGATCCAAGTCGGTGCCCATGTGTCTGTGGCACCCAAGTGGCACCCAAGTCACTGAGGGCAACTATTTTTATTGATCTTTTCTTTTCTATTTAAGCACCAAAGCTCAGAACACTTTGTGTTGGTGAGTTCTGCTCCTTGAACTATCTTGAACTCCTTGTGCCATCTAGGGTCAATAATGTGGGTGGTGTTCCTGGCTGCGCTGGCAATTGACATCATCAAAATTGAACCATCGATGCTCTCACGACAAGAACGACATTCCCCAGCCACCACCTGAGAAGCTGCAAAGCGAAAGCCAGCGTTTTTGGTCCACGAGCACGTTGCGCAGAGAGATAGTAAAAGTGCAGCGGTAGCTACCCTGGGTCCGCTACCGCTACCCTGGGTCCGCGCGCGCGCTTTGCTGGCTCGCGCGCGGACCCAGGGCAGCTACAAGGCAGTTGCCAGGTATAGCACTTCAATTTCCCTTTCCGTCAACCGCTACCGTGACAAACGTGCAGCAATCCACATACCCAGGTATAGAGCACTTCAAGTTCCCTTTCCGTCCACCGCTCGATAACCTTTAGAAGCGTGCAGCAATCCACAGCATTCGTGCTTTGAACTTCCTCGGTAAAACTACACCTTACCATGCAGATGACGCAAATGAAGAAAGTTGCATTTCTTACATCACCAGCCGCTCAAAAATCACAAAAAATTACCTCCAACACAACCTCCAAAACCTAATTTCGAGTTTATATACGTGGTGCTTTCTCGGGCCACCCCCCCCAGACCCCCTACTTACTCACTTCGTTCGCCAAACACAACTCAGCTGGCGCCTTCTACGAAGGCTGGCTTTCGTAACTTTCTTACGTCAAAAAGTCAAAAGCCTGGGAACCCGGTGCAAACAGCACTCCGTCCTGCTCCACCATCGCCTCTCTCAACTCTAAGACCTTCCAGTCCTTCGGCAGAACCCTGCTCCGAACTGAGC